ATGGATGGATGTATGGATGGATGATGGATGGATGATGGATGGATGTATGGATGGATGATGGATGGATGTATGGATGGATGATGGATGGATGTATGGATGGATGATGGATGGGCATGCAGCTGTGGGGCCGATCAATATTTTTATGTTTTGTTCTGTGAATGTTGCTGACACAGAAGAAGCGTCTCCAGACGTCGTCTCAGACTCTGGACAACACAGGAGCAGAGAAGCTGCCTCTTCCATCTGGAGCTGAACTTCATGAACACACATTCATGTTTCCATCAGAGCTGATATAACTCAGAGCTGCAGGCGATCACACACTGAACCGTTGACACATGAGGATCATTTCTGCTTTTTACAAGATTCGTTTCCTGTTTTTACATGATTTACTTCACAACAGCTAATAAACCCTCAGAACTTAACAAAAAGGATGAATATTCATTAAAATGAGGATAAACTTGAGGAGCCATCTTGTTTTTACAGTAAAAATGATTTAACACTCATGAAAGGAGACACTAACTGTACTTTTACTGTGAAAGCACAGAACAGTAAAGTCCAGTACCTGTGGCTCATACTTCCAGCTGGCTGTGGGACGTTTTCCTGTGGGTACTGTGTACAAATACCCCGAGAACCACGGCGCGCGGCGATACCGGCTGTACAGCGTGGCGAAGTAGTACGAGTTGTTGTACCGCTGGCAGATTGGGGTCCCCTCCAGACCCTTGGGAGGCCAGGACTTGTAGAAGAAGTGCAGACACGGACTGAAATCTCCAACATCAGCCGCACACGGAGAGAAGGCGATGCTGAGGACGAGGACCAGCAGAGACATCTGTACACGGGACATTTGAACTCGTCTTCACACCTTCAGGAGACAAACTGAGGCTGTTTCCTGTTCACCGACGTGACGTGACCTCGCAGTGAAAGCAGAAGCAGCCGAACAATGAGGTTCGGCTTGTTTTTACAGGAAGCAGCGCCGCTTCGTTTTCCTGCTGTGGCAGCTGAACAGATACATCTCACATGATAGAGGGATGAAACAAAAGGACACAAAGAGTTTGTGTTGAACGGCTGCGGAGGAGTGATGCTGTAGACAGGTCCCGCAGCAGTCCAAGACCATCACACTACCACCACCGTGCTCGACTGTGGGCACCATGTTCTTTTCCAGGAGTAGTAACAGGAGGCTCACCTTCTGAAGAGACCCACAGGCGTCTTGTCGACCCTCAGAGTATTTTCCCAGAAATCTTGAGGATGTATGAGATGTTGTTTGATGCATGTACCTCACGGCCACCGTAGGTAGGGGAGTTGGAGGAGGAAGATCTGGTGTTCCTGTTAAACTGGGGAGAAGCAATACTCTGTAAATTCATCACGATGAGGCGGACTTCATTTCTGGCTGACGTGAGCACAGCCACGGCAGAGAAGCACGCTCTCCCTGTCAGCACAGTCATGGCGATGTCTCCTCCGTGCACCAAAACTGTCCAATCTCCTTCTACAGGTTCTATCTCTAATTTTACTGGAGCAGTTGTGAAGTAAGCTCTAACAGCCTCGGCCAGCGGCTCCTCAGCAGAGATGACATCAGCTGGTGCTTTTCAAAAACAAACACGCCCACAAACTTCTGACCAATCACACAATGCTTGGCACACACCCTGTAAGAAACTACTGCTGACTCAAGGCGTGTGCATGACAGGGTCGCTGCGAGGAGAGAATTTTTATCTCAGGTCCACGTCAGTGATGCTCAACGTCAGAACTTCTCATGGACTTTCAACCAGCCTTCAGTCAGGACTTTGGATCTTCTGCTCAGCAGTTTGTTTTTGTTTTGGAACTCCCCCACAGAGGTTATTTTGGCCTTCATCTCTTTTTTTATCACCGAATCATGAACTTAGACCTTAAGGAGCTGTGGCTGAGTGGTTAGAGCAGTTACCCTCCAATGGGAGAGTTGGGGGTTTGATTCCACCATCAGTCACATGCTGAAGTGTCCCTGGTCAAGACACTGAACCCCTCGTTGCCTCCGATGTGTCCCATCAGTGAATGAATGTGATAAGGCCCAGATTAGTCTCTGTAGAGACCTAGTAGAGTGCTGTAGGGTCAAAGAGGTCACAGATTGTGTTGTAAAGAGCTTTGAGTGTCTTGATAAGATAGAAAGATGCTGTACAGCCCATCCACCATTTAAAGGAAGCATGTGATGCCTGCAGAGTTTTAGATGTTCTGAGTTCTTTTGGGGCCTCCTGCATGAGTTCTTCAGCTCTTGGATTAGTTTTAATCTGCCGTCTCTTTTTAAAGGATTTCTTCATTCTTTGAGTCTGGTTGTATAATCTGGCCTGGGTGATTCAGTGAAACTGACCTCAGCTTTCTGGAAAATATGTCACTTAACAAAAAGAGGAAATTACTTTTTCACATAAAGCCAGGTTGGTTTGGATAAAATAATGCACAAAATCTGTTTTTACTCCGGTTGTTGTTGCCTGATATTAACATTTGTTTGATGATCGAACTCTTAAAACGACAAAAAGCTGCTCTCTGCAGAAAAACACAGTTTTAATCAAATATTCTTGATCTGGTGCTTTTTCTTGCCATTCAGATGACCTCATACGTAACATGCATTTTATTGTGTAAGTATCTTCCTCCAAGATAATAACGTGGTTAATAATTACATGAATGAGTGTAAAATCAACCGCTTCAGGGAAGTGAGATTTGATTGGAACAGTTCTGTTATTCATCCGAAGGAAGCGTCGTGTTGCTCCACAGTAGATTTGCACACTTGTGTGGAGGTCCAGTCCTCTGCAGCCCTCCCACATTTCATTATGTCACTAAACAATCTGGAATTAGGTTCAGCAGCAGCACAGAGCCTGAGCTCAGTTTGACTGAACACTTGGTCCACCCTGTGAGAGCCTCTGAAGGTAGGTTCCAGTTTCTGCAGCATGCGGACACAATCAGCTCTTTAACAAAGTTCCTCCTTTAACTTTCTGAGCAGACATAAAAACAGGAAGCTGATGACTCGGGCCCGCTGGTTCTGAGTGTTTCAGCTGACTGTTGTTACTCTGGACACACTTTTCACTGAACTCTGATTTATTGAGCAACAGTTTAAGTCCAGTTTTGTGCTTTCATCACTGCAGCTTTGAACTCTGACCTCTAAAAACAAGCAGGACATGAACTATCAGCTCCAGCTGTTCAGCGCAGTGGAAGCTGAAACGGTACGAAGGATTTAAACGTTTGAAAAACTCTGAATAAAAAAGTGCCGTTGAAGCTTTTAAAAGATTTGAGCACAAACAGAAAGTAATGCAGGAATGTTCTGATGTTTTCCAGATGTTTTCTGCTCTCTTTCAGCTCCAAGGCTGACATTTTGAACTTCAAACCAACTCTTTGGTCTCTAATGATTGATGCATTTTATTCTTAAAGAAGCAGACGTCTTTAAAGTACGGCTGCAGGTTCGAGCAGCCTTGGAGGAAACACCTTGTTTCTGTTTGATTTGGGATTTTTCAGGAGTTTCTCTCCGACTAACATCAGGATACGTTTGGATCTGCAGTCAGATGTTTCCCTCGGTGTCATATTGAACTTTTTCTGAATCATCTGAGCCATTTTTATCTCAGCGTGGAGTGACTCAAGCTGCAGCACGTGACTTTAATGATTTTTAAAAACAAGCTTGAAGATAGGTCAGATTTTCTCTGATGAGTCAGAATTATACATACAGGCTCAAATATATCCACATTTCATTTAATCTGGTGATGAGAGGTGCCAGAAGAGATCTTTAACTTAACAAGTCCAAGGTCCTCTAACTTCTCTTTAGTGATCATGACTGACTGCAGCATGTTTCATTCACAACACACAACATTTAGTTGTTCTTCTGGATGCTGCAGGTGGTGCCACAAACCTGCATGAAACATGTGGCTATTGTTTTGTCAGATGCTCTTCTTGATGCAACCTGGGCTCGAACTGGCAGCCCCGGTTAACGAGACTGCAGCACTTAACCCAGAGGCATCACAAGAAGGGGACATGCCCCCCCCACACACATTTTAAAAATATTCATTTGGACTCTGCTACCGTAGCGCTATGTTAGCTCCTGCTCTTGGGGTGGGGGGGTGGGTGGGGGGGGTGGGGGGGTAGGATGCTTGAGAGAAGAGAAGCGTGCTCTATTCACACAAGGGGAGCTGTTGGTCAGGCTACTTCTTGTTACTCTCTAAAATAGTTGTTGAATCAAGTGTTTACTTATGTAGGTAAACACTAATATTTAACAACCGTTAAAATACACCAGAATGCAGGAAATAGCATCTACTTTATTCAAAATTATCTGGGGAAGGAAAATTTAACCCCCCCCCTACACACACACACACACACACACACATACACGCACACACATCACATTACAAATGCTTCTGATGCCAATGACTTAACCCTGATCAGTTTTTAAATGCATTCAATGGTCTTCACTTGAACCACCATAAAAACACACGGGCTGCTTTTAAAAGACGTGGACTGTTGTTATAACTTGAGGTAATACAGAAAATGTTCCTTGCTTCTAATTTATTTTTGGATTTAACATAATTTTTCATTTTCTTCAGAGTTAATCGATGATGGAGAGAGTTCCAGGAGCTTTTCTCTTCCTTCTGGGGGTGAGTTTGACCTTTCTGAGCGCTCACAGCGTTCACGCCGGAAAGATTCTGGTGTTTCCAGTAGACGGCAGCCACTGGGTCAACATGAACCTGATAATCCAGAGTCTCCACTCCAGAGGTCACGAGGTCACGGTGGTCCGCACGGCCACCAGCTGGTACGTCAAAGAGCGCTCCCCTCATTACCGCTCCATCACGATCACACTGCCTCAAGCCATCATCATCGAGGAGGAGGACTTCTTCGTGAACATGCTCGTCAAGATGCTGGAGATCAAGAGGCACGGGGCGTCTCCCATTGGACTCGTGAAGTTTTACTGGGAGATGCTAACTGCGCTGTCGAGCATTCACCAACAGGCCAGCTTGTTGGCGGTGGAAATATTTGAGAACAGGACTCTGCTGCAGAGCTTGCGAGATGCTCAGTTTGATGTGGTTCTTCTGGATCCAGGGTTGCCAGTTGGAGTTTTGGTGGCTCACGAGCTAAAGCTCCCAATGGTATATAACGTGAAATGGATCACCAGTGGAGAGGGCCACTTTGTGGCGGCTCCCTCCCCAACGTCGTATGTTCCTACCTGTGGACACTGTGTGACTGACAGGATGACGTTTCTGGAGCGAGTCAAAAATACGTTCTTTTACGTCTTCAACACCTACATCGACAAGCTGATCGTGTGTCCTCCCTACAACAGACTCGTGGAGAAATACTTTGGTCCAGATGTGACGTTCTACCAGCTTCTCCAAGGCGCCGACATGTGGCTCATGAGGGTGGACTTTGTGCTTGAATTCCCCAGACCGACCATGCCGAACATCGCCTACATCGGTGGGTTTCAGTGTAAACCGTCAAACCCTTTACCCACTGAGCTGGAGGAGTTTGTTCAAAGTTCAGGAGAGCACGGCTTCATCTTGATGTCTTTGGGAACGCTGGTTAAAGCTTTACCGTCAGAGATCACTTCAGAAATTGCTGCTGCTTTTGCCCAACTTCCTCAGAAGGTCATATGGAGGTACGTTGGCGAGCGCCCTAACAATCTGGGCAACAATACCCTTCTGGTGAAGTGGATACCACAGAACGACCTGTTGGGTCACCCAAAGATCAAGGCTTTTGTGGCTCATGGTGGCAACAACGGTGTCTACGAGTCCATCTACCACGGAGTCCCCGTCATCGGCCTCCCTCTTATGTTTGACCAGTTCGAAAATGTTTTCAGACTGGAAGTGCGAGGAGCTGCGAGGGTGGTAGACGCAACGAAACTCAGCAGGCAGAGCTTTGTGGAAGCGGTGCGTGACGTCCTCAACAACCCGTCCTACAGAAACAACATGAAGCGTCTGTCCGCTCTCCATCGGGACCAGCCGAGGCACCCGCTGGACACGGCAGTCTTCTGGACCGAGTTCGTCATGCGGCACAAAGGAGCTGCACATTTACGCACAGAGTCCTACAAGATGCCGTGGTATTCGTACTATTCTGTGGACGTTGTCTGCTTCCTGCTGGCAGCTCTGTTGATGCTGAGCGCTGCTGTGGTTGGATCCTTACGGTTCATCTGCCTTCCACTGTGCAGGAGAAGAAAACCGAAGCAGGAGTGACTCCTCACATGAATCTGCTTTTTAAAATAAATGATCTTAAAGCAGAAGTTCAAATCATTTTCATTTATGAACAATAATACAATACCTGCTGATAGGTCCTAAATAAACATCTTATCTGAAAGATTTCATAACTGGTGACGCAACACTTCCTCTTAAATCATCACAGTGTCATCAGTTTACATTTGCACGGCTATTTATGAAGAATTATGTGGTTATTTGGACTTCCAGTGCAGCCTGGAGCATCTAATATTACAGTATTTTGGGAATATAAGGTGCACTTAAAATCCTTGAATTTTCTCAAAAGTCGACAGTGAGCCTTATGTATTAATTCTGGTTGTGTTTATTGACCTCAAACCAGTTTTATGTGGTACACGACACTCAAAGATCTGTTAAAATGAACTTATTTTGCTTATAGTCATAAAAATACGGTATACTATTTCTGTCTAAATATGGTAAAACTGACAGCAAGGCAGGTTCATCGGACCAAGCGAGCAACAAGTCTCAGGTCAAAGGTCACGCGTTCTACAGCCTCTTTGCACACGTTATTGTTGCAACATGGAAAGAAAATGGTGGCAAAATAAACAAGCACCTGATGGAAAAGTGACGAGATGCAGACACTTTCTAATCGTGTTTGCAGGTAAGACGCTGATTACTGGTAATGACTCCACAAAACATGAATAAAAACTTGAAACCATCTCTTTATTTCGCCGTCCTGCAGAATGTTTACTGATCCTCAAATCACCGCTCAACAAATTATTTACGTGACGAAAGTATTAACGGTGCTCAGTAATGTAATATTTAATCAAAGTACACGTTGTAACTGTTGTATGAACACTAATCATTTTTCATTTGTCATGATTTAAACGTTTTTAATGTCCTGAACTGAAAATTTAATTTGTATGAAATAGAAAAACCTGCTTTACTGTGCATTTAAATAATAAAAATAAACTAAATGAATCAATATTGTGCATGATCATTAAAATATAATAAAGATAGCTGCATGAAACAAAAACCTAAAATAACTTCAGAATAAATGATAATGATGCCTGATGAAATATTAAAAAAAGATAACATTAAAATGTGGGTCCTTGAAAACAAAATATAAAGAAATGAGGAGTAGCTTAGGGCTTTTCAACAATATATTTGGTTATTCTCCAAGTCGAACATCTACGAGGTCACGTGAACATACTGGAGGCGGCCATGTTGGTCATGATGCTGCTGTGAATTATTGCTCGTCGAACAAGAAGAAACATCCAAACATAAAATGTTGGGCAGCACGTAGCATACACACGTATGACACACGCATCACACATACGTCTGATCGGCACATTTTCATCTTTGTTATTCCTTTTACTATAAATGCAAGAGATCTGTACTTCACTGCAACGAGTGAACATAAATCTGAAATAAAACAAACCGTTAGAAATACTAATAATAAATAATATAGGTCCGAACATTCATGACGCCTCCTTGCATCTCTATGCTGACGATACAATTATTTATTGTCGAGCTAATAACTGGTTTCCATAACATCATCCAGTCAGACTTGTTCCATCTCAAACTGGTGCTAAATGCTGATAAAACCAGAGGTGTTGTTTTCCAACAGGAAGTTGGTGCTAGTAGTTCTTCCTCCTCTCTCATCCATGCATCATGTTCCCACTGAGTTACAAATAGTTGGGCATTCTGGTCCATGCACATCTTTCACAGTGGTTCATTCAGCAGTGGGGGGACACGAGCGCACTCCACAGGTCAGAAGAGAAACTATTGTTGTAGATAAATTATTTTAAAAATGTATTGTTTACTTGACTCTCTGGCCTGAGACTTTTCAGGACTTCAGTTTATTTTTTAAATGTCATAAACCCCAGACAGAACAACTTTTTCTGACAAGAAACAATAACAGAAAAAGGTACGTGAGTTCTGATCTTCTAAACAACTTTCTGTGTAAGATAAAAAACAGAATTATTTATGAAGAGATGTCATTTCAGCCAGCTCTAACGTTTCCAGACCACGAGATAAACCAGGACTGGGATGAAGCTCACAGGGATGATGGTGAGCGCCACCACCAGGCTGGTAGGAGCATCCTCACACAGGTCCTCCTCTTCCTCAGTGCAGTTGTGGAAGAAGCTGGAGTGGATGTGGACGAAGAAGTCCTGAATGTCACGGTTTGGGAAATAGCAGTCAACCATGGCGGTGAGCGTCTCCAGACACACCGTCAGGTCGTTGTAGGGTCTGCAGAACAAAACAAACACATTATATATATTTTATATACAGTATTATATATATACAGTATTATATATACAGTATTATATATATACAGAATTATATATATACAGTATTATATATATACAGTATTATATATATACAGTATTATATATACAGTATTATATATATACAGTATTATATATACAGTATTATATATACAGTATTATATATATACAGTATTATATATACAGTATTATATATATATATACAGTATTATATATACAGTATTATAAATACAGTATTATATATATACAGTATTATATATACAGTATTATATATACAATATTATAAATACAGTATTATAAATACAGTATTATATATATACAGTATTATAAATACAGTATTATAAATAAAGTATTATATATACAATATTATAAATACAGTATTATATATACAATATTATAAATACTGTATTATATATACAATATTAGAAATACAGTATTATATATACAGTATTATATATACAATATTATAAATAAAGTATTATATATATACAGTATTATATATACACAGT